AGACTGCTCCTTTCTAAATGAAAGCTGATCTTATATGATGGCAGGCGTTTCAGTTTTTAAGAGACAGACCCATCACTATGAAGGCTGTCAATACTTATTCCTGGCCCTTTTTTCTCATCTTCCCCAAAATGCCTATGGAAGAGAAGAAAGGTTCCCATATGCGAAGGTTTAATCCACCTGTGTTAAGTCCACTAGGAGTTTGTCGCTCTCTGTGGGGGATGAAAGCGGACATGACACAGTATTCTTCAGAAAGTAAAAAATTAATTTTCCTGCAGCTCTACCAGAGAACAACGATGATTATTGAATATTGCAGGGACTCTAGAAACCCTGCAGAGAAGGGCTGGGACCCCCATGTCAAACCTGGTGAGAGGTAGGGGGCTGTTAGAGAATACTGACTTCAGCAACAGCAGCACAAGTGTCAGGCACCGCTTTGTACAATAAACAGCATCTTTTGAACCTTCCCTTTTTCAGCTTTGCGCAGGCCTGGCTGGCTAGGGTAGGCAGCAATGGTGTAGCTGGCCCGTTTACATCCCAGGTCTGTGTTGTGGGGCTGTTCTGCAGCCTGGTAAACATGCATGGCTTCATACAGAGAGACGGCAGCTAAACTGAACTCAGTACTGAACGGTTTTCCTGAAGCGAGTCAGGTTCCCAGTGATGTGGTAACAAACAGAGAAAGACCAGAAAAAGACCAGAAAGCCTTAGAGGCTGCCACACAGCAGTGCCACAGCCTGGGCAGTGACGAAACCCCACACCTGTAACAAACCACCCCACAGCCTCCCTTTCAGGCATACAAACGAATCAACAGGTAACATGCTGCAAATTCTACTCGTTACTCTTGAGCAGAGACATACATGATTCATTTCTTTTCATACACTCATCCTCTAACTCTTCATCTGCACTGTTCTCACACCACCTTCCAGTTTCCGCACAGCATACAGGTGATGCCCAACACATTGTTAGAAATAGCAAAGATCAAGGCAGTGTTCAGCAAACCATGCCATTTGCTGCAGAGATAGCTGACAGAGATAGGCCAGGTAAGCATGAAAGGAACGGCTTAGTTAGGATCAACCGAGCACAATCAATCAGCACGACAGCTCAGACTGAGGAGATAAAGCTACATTTGCATTTATTCTCTAACCTGTTCTCTCAAAGGAGAACATTAGGATGTTTGTCTAGATGTTACAAATTACTTTTAGAAAAAAGATGCCTTGATGCACATAGCAGTTGTAGCATGTTAATTGTTTTGGCTTTTTCTGCAGTGAAACAAAACACCAGCTCACACCAAGAGACTTAGGTGCTGCCAGGGGGAGGAACTCCTGCAGGGTTCTGTAGGAGCTGGAGGTTTCAAGGGTGTTGTGTGCTGGCAATCATGGCCACAGTAGAAGAACCTTTTCTGACAAAACCCAACCAGGATTAATCACTAAGCCCACAGAAAATGAGAGGGGAAGCACAAAATGGAGGATGAGGTGAGACCCAGGGATGCTCAGTAGCCTAGGATGATTTTTGCATTTTATCTGGCCAGATGCCCCACACAGGCAGCCTGCTGCATCCCTGCTCGCCTGGTAGTGGCCTCTGTGTGTTAACTTGTGTGACAGTCAAATATAGATGGCCCAGTGGGAAAGCTGGTAAAAGGTAGAGCTTTATTAGTAATCACAGAGAGTTTGCAAAAGGCAATGGCCATTTGCTTTCAGCCTTATCCTGACCCTGTGATTAGGGATGCACTGATCATTATTTGCTTATTAAGACTTGAAAACAGAGGGCAGAAATTTACTCTGCTCCTCTTCACAATCAGCAAGTGTTCATATAAGCTTTTGGATTATAGAGGAGATGCAGTTAACTACTGAAGTGAGATTTTCCAGGGACACTACAGGCTTTAGAACATATCCTGCATGACTGGAATGAACCAAAGCTAACATTTCTCTTTGTTTAGATATTAAACTGGTTAATTGAACCATTTCTTCCTTTCACGCAGGGAGACCTTTAAAACCATGTACTCAAGTACGGACCTGAGATGACCTGCAAGGTTTGGTAACCATAATCAGTTCTTTGAAAGAAAAGGTGTAAGCCTCCTTGCAGCCCTGAGTTGAGACCAAGACCCAGGGAGAGTGGGATTTTAGATACAATCATGTCCTCCTGCTTTCTATTAGCTAATTTGGCGGTGCTGGTTTGGATCATATTTTAAGACTATTCCCTTGGGTTATATTCATTTTTGAAAGGAACTGTCTCTCTAAGGATAACTTGTGTGTCAATCCATCTCCCAGTGCAATTTGAGTGCTAAAATTCTGGAAACTAGTTTCTATCAATATCAATACGCTTCCCTGAACACTTTATGAACGGTGCTTATATGTTTTGAATTTCTTAGACTGCCACATTCAACATTTTATATCTAAATTGTTAATGTTCTGTAAAGTAACACAGCCATTTTAATAACCTCTATGTACTCTGTCATAAAACCCCCAAATTTATTTGTATATCAGTGACCAAAATGGAAAAAAAGACCTCAGATATTAGAATAAAACATGTAAGTCAAGGATAATGCTATGCTCAATATTTTATTTATATTTTTATGTAAACATAATTTGCTTTGTAGGCACAATATAACAAAAGCTCTAAAGCAACAAATACAATTAAACAGTGTTTCAGTTTACTTCAATCAATCAGGCTTAAGTTAAAGAGAAGCTTTCACAGTTCCTTTAAGGCAAATTGAGAAATAATTTGTTTCACTTGAAGAAACTAACCAATTGTCTTAGAGTTGTTTAAACAACACTGTCAGTAGTAAGCACCTTCATTTCTACTACAATAAGACTTGGTCACTAACAAGTCTCTGAATCCTCATTTTGTATAGCATGCCCTCAACCACTTCAGACACGATACTACTGTTTGTGGTATTCTAAAGGTACTTAGGGCTTATGGGCCAAATTCTGCTAGCACAAACCTGCTTCCAGAACAGATGCCTGAAAAATTTCAATTCATTTCAGTAGTAACCTTCACGTATGCCATATTAATACCAGTAAAACACAGAGTAGAGTTTAGCTTGCTGACAGTAATACTCATCTGTGTTGCACTTAGGTAGATTCGGAAGTATTCCTTTGTACTCACTGCAATTACCTGATACTCTGCTGATCAGAAAATGGCCCTAAAATTGGTATGAATTAGCATGAAGAGTATTTTTGCCTTGCTAACAAAAGCAGAAAGAACTAGCCAAAATCACTTCATTTGATTGTTGTCCCTGTGGTGTCTGTGGCCATGACCAAGATCACCCATCTTTCTTTGTCTTGAAGGGTAATTTAACTGTAGAGCCAACCATACTGCGGTTTACAACAGAAGAACGGATTTGCTATTCTGCTTGCCCTACTAATTTAAGGCCTTGAGAATGCCACTTTACTGCCAGCTCGAAGGTCACCAGCAATATTGCTCACTTTGGCGTCAAATCAAAATTCCTAGTTATGTTAAGGTTTGTTGCAGGACAACATCATTACACTAACTGCAAAACAAAATCGGGCATGTTTCCTACCATTGTCAGCTTATGAGTCGTGAAAACTTAATGGCCCTTCTTAAAAGCCCAATTGACAAGCCCAATACATGGAAAACTCTCACTGAATACATATTTTTTCTGTGGATAAAGTCCCTATTTGGGCCTGATATAGCACTGGAAGTGCAGGCAAGTCCAGCTTGAAAAGAAAATCAACTATAGTGAAGTTCTGTATCAACATCTAAAGAAAACTGAAGTTCTGGTTCAATTAATGTTTCAAAAGCTTTTTTGGCATTTTTCTCCACAGTTATTTCTTCTCATTATTTTTGAATTTGTTTACCCAAAAGAAACTCCTTCAGAATGAACATTCTGCACGATTATCTGGTATTAGAACAGCAATTTCATGAGTACAGTGTAAAGAGATGGACATTAATACTCAGGCAGCAAAATGAAACAAACACAAAAAAAACCCAAGAGAGAATCTTCTAAAACCACACATAAAAGTCATCCAGACCCACAAGTCCTTTCCCGCTGAGTAAAGCCTGAGCAGCCCTCCCTCTCCACTTTTCTATATTAATTTTTAACTTCTATCACTACAGGATACTTGCAGATTTAGGCGAACAACTAGCCATGCCTGTGGAAATACTTTCTTTTGAAAAAATATATTAATCCAAAGATATACGTCATTATACAAGGTCTCTGACATTCCTTTAGCATTTCTACTGTAGGTGATTGCAGTCATTTTAAAATAATTGTTTTAATGAGACAATTGAGGACCTGAGTGGCTGCTGCTTGGATAGATGAAGACATGGAAAAAATACTTACTTTTGTCATGTTTAGATATAGTTTCCACTAGTGGGAGGTAGATAAGACTAGCTGGTCTTTGAATACTTGATCCTGCAAATGATTACAAATGTAACTGTACGTATGGAACAGAGCTAGACAGAGTTATCCCGGTGCATAATTTCTGATGGGATTAAGGCCTAAAACTCATTTTTAACAGGGTTAACTTCTGTAGGAGTTCAGCTCCAGCTTGACAGTTGATCAACACACTAGCGATTTCAGAGCAGTAAACTCCATCAACAAATCTCTTTCCGCATACTGATGAGTGATCCTTACCAATACAATTTAAAAATGAGATTTACAATTGGTTTGGATTTTGGACACAGATGAGTCAATGTGTCCTTAGCAGAAGATGTTGATCTGTCAATAACAACGCTAATTGCTACAAGCAATTAAAGTTCTGGGTCTACGAAGAGTGGCTCACGGACCTTTTTCCTTGCCTGTAATGTATGGGGTGATAGCTCAGATCAACAGGAAAGCATTGTAGTTGGCGCTCTGAACAAAGTGTTTAATTCCTGGTGCTGATGACTAACGTGATTATACAACACTAATCAAAGTCTCTCAATTAATGATTTCTTGCACAATTTTAGATTCCACAATTCTAAATGAGGTATTTTTGAAAATCAAGATAGGATTGCTTATAAAATGATAAAGCATGACTGAGGAAAATGAAAACTCATCTTTTTTGCAACTTTTATCTGTGGTTCATAAAAGGAAAATTATTTTAACACTGAAAATCCACAAACTTAAAATCCTCCCTCCAGTTACTAGAATTTTCCAGACAGCAAGTGGGGAATTTTTTTTGTTACTGTTTCCAACTTGCAAAAAAAGCCCAAACCCCCCTAATAACTTATGCAAAATATTGGAATTTGCAGGAGAAAGATGCCCATCTAAAATTACACAGTAAGTTAATAAGGCTTTTAAACCGGAACAGAAAAATCCATGGGACTCCTACAGAGAAACAGGGTATTACACAGGAATGTCATAATACTGCACTGGATGAGAATGGCACTTGAGTTCAAAACAACAATGATCAACAGCTCATAGCTCAGCTGACTGCAGACAAATACAACACACACTGTACTACAGCATTTGTTCACTGATGCACAGAATAGATTTCCCAATCTTGTTCCCTTCTCCATCAACCTTTCTGCTTCCACCACCTCTGGCTGTTACTGGATGAATGGCATGCGCTCTTTATTCTCATTGTCCCCTTCATGATCTTCTTCCTCTTCTCCAGCCTCACTTGTCTCTGTGCTGTCGTTGGCCATCTGTAAGATGAAAGAGGAAGGAAATCGGAAGACTTTTCACGTTGTTTTATTCATTCTGATTTCAGTTTGATTCATTTGATAAAGTGACTTTAAAAATGAAAGACGACATCGTTGCAACATGAAAATAAATATTCAATCTGTGCAAAACTTCTGTTGGCACTATGCCACTTCCAGCTAAAATTGTAAGCTGTTCCCTCGTGGCTTACAGCTGAATTATGTACAGAAAGCTGCTTTGTAGGACAGTTCCATAAGTGGACTGTGCACTTGTCGCAAGCTGATATTAAGGCTCTTGGATAGGAAATACGACTGGGTAGGAAGTTCACAGAATGTGTGAGACCTCTGGTTTACAACTCCTTCTGTATCTGCTTTCCAGAAACAGGCAACACTATTCTTTAATGCCAGCTAATGGTGGGGTCTGGTCCTACATGAGGTGTAGTGTCATGAAAACTCAGAGCGCAACTGTTTTATATTAAAAAAAAAAAAAAAAAAGAAAAGAAAGAGAAACTTTATACAGCAGTGGATGTGTAGGTGCTGGGAGAATATACCCATGACAGAGTGCAAATCTTTGGTCATACAGAGTGGGCAGAAACTGCATTTCCATATTTTATTGAAGATGCCTGTACAGGTAGTAAGCAATTGCAGAAATTTGTAGTTCAGGATAGCATTTAGGGAGCACATTGTAGTTTTTTACATGGGAATATTTATTACAAGTTGTGTAAGGGTGCAAGAGTCTCTTGTACTTCACCTTGTTGGTTTGACTTGTCTCTGGAGGCACAAGAAGAGTCTGGTTTACTGGACAGGTGGTAGTGTTTAACAGCATAGATTAGTAAGACTGAATTCTGTTATCCACCAACATTACCTCTCTCAGGACACAAGAAAATTCTTGTATTAGCTGGTAACTATTTCAAAACCAACTAAGCAAGGGACCCATTTACTTTTTAAAGAGAAATGCAGTGATGCTGTACCTTCCCTGTTTGATTACTAGCCTCTGCTGGAAATAAAAATATCATACAACTTGATTTTAACGGAGAAAACCAATGGTCAGAAGTTACCAATATTTTTGAATGAACACCCTTTCGTGACAGTGTATCAAATTTGTTCTCACTTTCTAACCAATCGCTACTGTGAATATACAGTATCATGAGAACTGATGGAGTAAGTGTATTAATGTTGTGTTATGGATCTTGTTTACAGTTTTAAGATGCAATTCAGCTACAAAATAATGCCCAGTTTCCACATCTGAGGTTTCAAAAGCCTTCCTTTTCCTTGCAGTGATTTTGTATGAGATTTGGCAGCAGTTTTAGAGGAAGTCCGAGTTAGAGCTTAGCTGTAATTCCAGGTTCGTTTCTGTTCTTTTGAAAGAGGAGATAACTCAGGTCTGAAAGCAAACTTCATACATTAGTATTGATTTGAAGTCAGTTTTTCATTATCTTCTTTACTGCTCTTTCCTACATCATCAGTGAACTTTTAGGCATGAGCCTGACTTTAATTTACTACTGCTCTCTGTAATGTTTCAGTACCATGTTAAGTGCTCCAAATCCAGTGGACCAGAGCTCCATCACAACTATCTTCCTTCAGAACACTTCTAGAAGGAAGTATTTAGAAACAGTGCTTCAGCTACTATAGAAAAAGAAATTCCTACCAAAGGTATACTCCGACTTTTGTATGGGAATCAGAAAGCACTTTACATTTGTACACTAAAGTAATATTGACTGTGTCTTTTTCTGTTCACTCCACTTATTAATACAGGAATTTTGTATTATGTTCAATGTTTGTTTTCCACCACACGGACAGAAATATAAATGTGGCAGTTTTAACCAGATCTAAGACTTGCAGACACAGATAGCCATTCAGTATAGAAAAGTAATTGCTGGCACTCTAGGAATAACAATTATATTTCACTTTGGGTTAACTACATAAATTATGATTATTAGTTGTATTTAGATGCTATGGACTTAGAAGAAACCAGCGTTAAAAAAATCGTAAGGGACACGTCTCCAAAAGTCACTACCATGCTTTAACTTATGCAACTGTACATCATGTAAGTAGTGCTTTGCACTCACCAGGGGAGTGGGTGCTTTCTCCACATCCAGAATTAGTTTTCCTATATTTCCTCGGTCATGGATTCTCTGCATGGCCTCCTTCACCTGTAAGAAAGATAACCTATTGATAATTTTCAGGCACACATTAAGAGAAGCCTGAATTCCTTCCTTCCAAAACCAGCAATATGTTTAAGGCATGCTATGTGCAAGGTAATTCAAACAGCTGCTTGAAACAAAACTAATAAACATTTTTTAGTGAATTTGGAAGGCCTAATTTTTGCACTGTGTCCGCCTAAACAGGATGTGAGTCTTGATGACAGTTTCTGAATAGCATAATACATATATAATGTTAATGTAGTACAAAGTAATGGTTAGCTGAGGTGCAGAGAGCAATACAGGCTCAGGGAGTTAATCCTTACGGGTTGTTCATTAGATTTTCTCCTTGCAGAATATTTATTGAGAAACCCTACTTTCACTGAAAGTTTTTCTAATTGATCTGTGATATTTTTCAGTTAATTTCTTTTGCATTCCTGTAGAGTGTATGCCACATCCAGGCAGTGACTATGATTATTGCAATACTGTGGTTCTCACTGCATAAGCATGTCTCTCTTTTTTCCACTTTTCTTTTTTAATTTTAAATAAGTAGTGTCCTACAGATACCACTAAGACCAGACATTTAGCAGCTGGCTGCAATTAGCACGTGTGAGAAGGGAACAAAAACCTCTTCTTACTAGTGCACTGGAGAGGAGTTTATTTTGATGTATGAAGCTCATGAGAGCTCAGCGTTGATGAATTGAAATTCTGTGTGTGTTGCACTGAAATTTCAATGTGCAGCATGCAGACCACTATTAAATCACTGAAAACTGGAAGATGTCAAGAGTTGCCTCACTTTCACGGTGGGAAACTTCAGGAACTCAAAATGTACACATAAAGGCTGTTTCATATCCTCATCACACTATTTTTTGCCGGCATAACAGGATATATTGAGACAAGGAGGAGTTTTATGTTAATAGGATCTACCATCTGTGACATAGTTTTATTGAATATTTTAAGAATAATGGCATAGAAGCTTCAAACAATATGCTGCTAACTTGGGAACAGGTGGGTCCCACAATACATTTAAAAGCCTGAATTGGGGTCCAGGCACCTAAGATAATTACTTAATGTCTAATACAGGAGGAGGTATGAGATTTTTAAAGATACTAAGCAAATACAGCTTTCAACTTCCAATTAAATTTAATGGATGCTGGGCACAAAATGTCTTTACCATCTGTCAGCCTTATTTTGAAAGCTGACTGCAGTGAACTCAATATTACAACCTTAATTTTGCCAAGTGGTTCCCTCAATTAGTAAACACCAGACTTAAAAAACCAATCTGTTAGAACAAAAGAAAAATTGTACTGCAAAACACAGTGACTTTCTAACTTAGGGCATAATTGTAAATTAACCTTGGAAAACACAATCTTATGAATCCCACTGGAGAGCAGGTTGACAGTCACTTTTACGAAGTTACCTTTCAGCATAAACAATACCTAACTATCCCAGAAGACTTGCTCTGCACTATGGACAATATTCCTTTAAAATACCCAACAAAGACCCTGAAGAAGCAGCAGCTGTATTATTTTTTTATGGCTCTTATTAGCCAAATCAAGCTTTTAGGAGTCTATAGCACAGCATAAATAACCAACATAGATGTGACAGAATTGGAGAAATCAGCAAACACACTTGCCTGTCCATTGAAATTTATTAACAGAACATCATGTGGAAAGCAGGGTATGCAACATTTATTTTAATTTGTACCATATCATATTTAGCAAGGCAAATTGGAGAAAATGTGCTTTCCCTGCATTTTTCACGTGCACGGTATCAAATTTAAGACTCTGGAGAAAGGTTGAGGAGTTGTTTCCAGGACACTTCTAAGTAGCTTGCAGAGGCAAAGGGCACAATAAAACTTGTAACAATAATATGGCTATGGAATCCAGATGGAGCTATTAAAATATAGAAAAATTTTGAAAAGTTTGAAGAGCTGATACAACATCTGTATACTTTAGTGTTACTTGCAACTTACCTACCTAGTTAGTCAAATTCTGTACTAGTGCAATGTCATTCAGTACTCTATGTCTGAGTTAAGAGACCATGAGCTATTTTATAAATGAGTAAGTTTTATGTTTATGGCTGCTAACAGTCCACTTATTCAACCAAGAGTGCAACTACTTGTTTCCCAAGGTGCCTGAATATTAAAACCATTCCCTCCTATGCTACAGAGGGCAGAGAGCATTAAAAACCTTCTTTGCTATGCAATTATGGTTAAGGCTTAAGTTGTTCTACGCAGACTATATAAAAGCATTTACTTCTTCATGTGAACATTTAAGTGCTGCGTGTAGTCTGCCTGTTGTAGAGCGTGTATGGAGCTTCTGCTAGGTCTGTGCCTGAGTGTTTGCACGTCACCAATGAAGACCGTGAATCACTCTGCACTTGGTTAAAATCAGACCCAGGCTTAACTGGTAGTACAGCGAGGCATGTGGAAATCCTGGAATTTGCTGGAGGTTCTCTGAAGTGGTTGATGTTTGATTCAAAATAAATATCCCTTCCAGTAGCAAGGATCAGAAGGGCTTCCCTCTTCTTACAGAACTGGGTCCCTACATTACTTTTCATCAATTGTTCTGTATTGGTTACTATTTGCATTTGTCAGCTCAAATCCAAGTAAATGGATCCAACATACTTTTGTTTATATGGACAAGTTAATTGAATTTCTTCTGGTGCAGTATTGTCAGCAGAGGGCTTTTGGATTGGAAATAGTGCAAAGGAATGTTTACTAATATAAAGAATTTCCACTGGAATAAAGGACAAAAATTCTGTTGGCCTTTGTTTGCTTTCAGTATACCTCAGCCCTTAGAGCGTCTGTGTTTAAACTAATGCTGAACTACAGATTTTAGCCTTGAGAGCCCCAAAATTGACACAATATGTATCTCAGAGCTCTGCATTGGAATCAGAACTACTTTTTACACATTACTGGACAACTGGAAAATGCTTCCACTTTCTATGTTATTTATGCAAGGAAAGTTGGCAACCAGTTACTGGAAAACAAGAGCGAGCCAGAATGCTGCACAGCTATGCACTGCCTGATGAATCCAACACAGGCACTCCTAGGCAGCAGTGGAGGAAAATGATTAATAGCGGAGGACAAACAAAAGGAATCGCAAGTTTGCCTTTTCCCTCAAGGACACTTGCATTAATTCATATTTTAGTTTGACGTACTGTTTTTAAGCATACTCTAGAGTGGAATCATCTTCCCCTATCTGTTCAGTCTAGTGGAAAATGATAACAAACACAGGAAAAGGACCTTTCTAACTCAGTTTGAAACAATTTGCATTTGCTTTAGGGAATATGCTTTTATAATTGGAGAAACGATTTTGAACAAGTATATTTCTCCCATCCCTTTCAGCTCTACAAATGGTACAGTCGTGGATATGTTATCACATATCCTCATTCAAGTGTTTTTCAGCAATGACAGTGAATCTGGAAATTAAGATGACCTATGCAATAATGAGGTCATCTATAAAACAAAGAACACAGTCTAGAAAGACAAAACCAATGTACCTCAAGGTCCTTTACAAGTCATGCTTACAACTTGTGCCCTGTGAGAAACAGTCAAATTCTCATTTCCTATCATAACTCCCCAAGTGCTGCAGATTTTCTGAGCCTTCTACAAGCTCCTTCCTCATATTATTCTGCCGGACCCAAGCAGAGAGGCAAGGAATATAAAATACAGAGAGCTTAACTGGGACCAGACAGAACCATTGCATTGTGTTAGCGTTATAGGCAAAGATTAGCAGCTTTAACATTTCTTAGAAAATTTTAATCTATTAACACACACTTGCACATTTAAAAAGGTGTTATGCTACCAACAGAATTCTTCAAAGAAGGCTCGATACAAACACAGGACAAAAAAAAAAAATCACAAAGCTGGCAAAGAAGGCCTGCTGTGAAAAACCCTGTTCAAGTATATTTTCCTGAGGGGATGTTATGGGAGGGATCTCAGAGCTTCTCTTGAATCAGAGCCATTTCTGTTCATCTGTATCGTGTTTCATACCGCGAACAGCAACAATTACTGCAATAGACCTTGGTAGGAGAGTAAGGGCAGAAATGCCCTTGCATTACCAGTCAGAGAATGCTCTAAAAGAGACAGCTGTCTTTTCGGGAAGTGTAAAGTTTGACAGCAGTACTAAGTCTGCTACCACTTTGAGGGAACTCCTCAAAAGTATCAAGAACTTTGGATATTGTGTCCTCTCTAAAAAAAAAATCTTATTCTGCTTCAAATAGGCTCATCTTCTCCAGTCTCAAATCTTTTCAAAATCAAGCCGAGGCACTTACCTTAACTGACAATGGTAATTTTCAGCATATTGTTTAATACTTTCATCTCCTACCAGACTAGATTTTCTCTGTCTTCAAAAACAAGCTGTAACAACAAGGCCTCCCTCTAACAATTTTTATAAGTTAGTATTTTTAAAAGTCTGCATACAAACTAAAACAGAAAAACAAAGAAAAAGCAAGGTGACCAGGCACACTGGGTTCTAAATTGAAGGGACAAATATCTGCCTTACCTTCCTATTTTCAACATCTGAGGTCTACAGGCTTTCAAAGTCAATGCAGGTAATGATATACAGTAAAGAATAGGATTCTGGAAATTCAAATGATGGATAAGTCTGGAATTCCATGTGGGTCTAACAGATTTTTAAAACCAGGACTGAGAAAGCTCAATACTTGTTCCTCCCAATGAGAACTTTGATAATAACTGTCTGTGCCAATAGTTGTTTGCAGATTCAGAAACGATGCCACAGTCAGGGTAATGGCATGCAACATTCTGCTCAACCTTCCTTCACTGACTGAAAAAATAAAATTATTGAATGTTATAATCCTGTCCAGTTCATACAAGAGCAACACAAAGAAATCCACAAGAAAATCTGAGCACACCTCAGGACAATGTTTTGACTAGACAGGTGTATGTATTTTGGGGTATTCTGTTTGTGTGTTTTGGGTGAGCATTTATTTCTGTGCTTTGTGATGGGGAAAAGATTAGTCTGGTCTTTACTTTGTGGGATTTT